GGAAGGAAGAAAGGAAAGAACGAACGATCGACGAATGAACGAACAATTAAATGGAGGGAGAAAGGAAGGGAGAAAAGGACGGGAGAAAAAGGAAGGAGGAATGGAACGAAAGAATTGAAGAATGGGAGAAAGAAAGAAAGAAGGATAGGAAGGAAGGAAGGAAGGAAGGAAGGAAGGAACGAACGAATGAACGAACGTCGAAGGAAATAAGATTGGAATAATTAAATGGCGGGAGAAAGGAAGAGAGATTTTAAGAAATTTCTTTTGAAGGAAAGGAAGGAAGGAAGGAAGGAAGGAAGGAAGGAACGACGAGCAAGCGAACGACGAGCGAGCGAACGACGAGCGAGCGAACGAACGAAGAATTGAAAGGAGGGAGAAAGGAAGGAAGAATGGTAGGAAGGAAGGAATGGACGAACGAACGAACGACGAACGAACGAACGAACGAACGAACGAACGAACGAATAAACGAAGAATGGAAGAATTGAAAAGAAAGGAAGAAAGGAAAAATGAAAGGAAAGAAAGAAGTTTGGAAAAGAGGAAGGAAGGAAGAACGGAATGAAGGCAGGTAAGAAATATAAAAAGAATAAAACTAGATGAAAATTCAAATAAAATGAAAGAGTAAAGAAAAAAAAAAGAAGAAGAAAATCGGAAAAGAAATTAAATAAAATTCTCTGCCTTCCGTTAGTTTAAATTAAATTTTGGCGAGAAGTGCAAACAAGCAAGGGGGTACGAAGTATAGCTGGTTTTAATAGGGAACGTATCGAAGTACAGAAAAACCTCTCATCAACGGACTAAGAGGGGGATGCAGTGGTCTGTTAAAGTCAATTGCCCATAGATGGGAAGGGATAATTGTTTAGATATAAAACCGCTATAGTAACTACCAATAGTTATGATCATAATGTAAATACTATAAACATGTATATATGGCATAAATAAATATATACTTAATGTAGATATATTAATCAAAATAACAAAAATAATAGATTTATCACAGCTACTTTCTCACGCACGCGTTAATATATCGTACTTTATATACTGTACACCCGTGTATCGTACTTTATATACTGTACACCCGTCTTTGTTTACAATTAAAATGCAGCCACCGCAGCCAAGCGGTCACTTTGTGTACTAATACAACTCATTCCGCTAAGCCAGCAAATTTTGAAATATATTGCGGATGATTTGGGAGATTTTTTTTCCTGCAGATTTTTTTAAATTTTATTTTGCCTGCTGATTTTTCCGTTTCAGCCGAAGTCCATTGATTAGGGAGGTGGGTGAGCCCGTAGATGAGAAGTTTGTCTGTAAAATAAATTTCCATTCTTCTTTTGGGAAAAATTAAGTTTTATTATTTAGCATATAAAATAATTACATTATTTAAAAATAAACAATTTAATGATTAAAATGACAAATACGTATTTAACAAAAACGCAATATTGTTTTTTTTTTTTTTTTTTTTTTTTTTTTTGCATATCTTTTTTTTAAGTAATATTTACCTCCTTCTCCACTGAGAAAGTGATGTGACATAAGTTCAGGTTTACTATGGGCAATTCGAGCGCGTACACCCGTGCAAAGACAAAATTTTCCCAGCCCTCGCAAGCAGTGATGGCGCTGGCCTCTCTATAGAAATGGGGGTTGCAGACCCGAGCAGCTGGTCCCTGGAACCGGACACCTCTCAGTATTTATTTGCCTCGTTTGCGCCTCTGTTCTTCGACGGACCCGCAACTGAGTCACACTGAGAGTTGGTAAACCCTACCTGGCATGTACCAGATACTTATAAACATTTCTTAAAGTTTATTTTTTATATATATATATATATATATATATATATATATATATATAAGCAAATATATGGATATAGATCCGACAGTATAAAAAAAATATATACGGAAAAACAAACAAAAATCCTTATATACAATTATGCTGTTTTAATGTTAATATGTCAACGTCGGACGTTTCGGTCTAATAAACCATCTTCAGGACATATTCATAAATTATAACATTATCAATTCAACATGACAAAGACGATGTACATAAGAACAAGACTTATCCAAACAAATAACTGAAAGTTTTATAAGATCAGCGCCCCGTTCGATTTTGATTATGGTGAAGATTTTAAAATATTTTCATAATAAAAATCTTAGGCGGATTTATGAAACAGGCATAATATCCATCTCACGCACGGTGAATACTAGACCTGGCTTTATTTTTTATTTATATTTTCTGCGAGATTAATGCTCGACAAGCGTACATATAAATTTTAGTTTTCAAAACAGAATTCTTTTCATTTTATATTTCAAAATACTCAAATTTTAGGAATACGTTTTCACAGCGTCACCCACATACAAACAACGTGACCATGTTTTAAACGGAGCGCTGATCTTATAAAACTTTCAGTTATCTTTTGGATAAGTCTTGTTCTTATGTACATCAATTTTGTCATGTTGTATTAATAATGTTATAATTTATGAATATGTCCTGAAGATGGTAAATTAGACTGAAACGTCCGATATTGGCATATTAAGTTCATTAAAACAGCATAATTGTATATTTGATTTAAAAGAATATTTTGTTTTTAAATAATATATATATTTTCTTCATATATATATATATATATATATAAATATATATATATATATATATATATTATATATATATAAATTTATTCCATTTAAATTAAAATATTACTGTTTCTACACTGTATTTGTTTCTTCAACAGCAAGGAAGAGTATTTTTGTTTTCAAAATCTGGACATTTTGTAAAACTGACGTTTTAAATGAATAATACTAAATGTGGCAAATTAAACAAAAAAATTTCAACACGGCGATTTTAACAATTAAAAAAATTAAAAATAGTTTTTGTTAAAAAACGAGATGTTAGGCAGAATGAAAGAAAAAGAGAAAATTTACAATTTTGGAGGATAAAAGACAAAAAATGGAGGTTTGAAAGGAAAAAAAAACACATTCTAAAAAAATGGTTTCATTCACTGGTGTTTTTCACCATGTTCAAAAAAATATTTTTTGTCATATGGTAACACCTGTTAGGGTCCCAGCTTTTAAAAATTGATCGTTGATCCTCAAAAGGTTTTTCATTAATTAAAGTTACGCAGTGGATGCCCATAAATAAAAGTAGGTATTAATACCAGCAATACGTTTTATAAAGAAAATGCTTAATGCCAACAATACATATTTAATCAAAGAGATGAAAGAACAAACAATATAGTATTTTTCAAAAATTATTAACAGCAATACAACTTCTAGGAAAAAATTATTGCTTTCTTTTTCCCCAATGCATTTTTTTTGAAGGAAAAATCTCGTTTTTGGGACAATACATTTTTAAAGGAAAATTTTTAACCTGTTTAATACAAAATATTAATGCAATAAACCAGCAATACATTTTTAAAAAAATATCGCCAAAAAATTCTCATGCAATTTCAGTTTTGGAAAAAATTATTATCAATCAATACATTTTTGACAAAATACCAGCGATAAATTTTTGAAAAAAAATTATCAGCTATACATTTTTTTTTATTTTCTTCGGATTTATCTTCATAAAAAAAAAAATATTATCAGCTTTATTGTTTTTTTGAAATTCAGATTTTTCAATGGCAGCTTTGGAAAAAATATTATCATATATGACAATAAACATTTTAAAAAAAAATATTAGCAGCTTTATAGACTGAAAAATATTATCAACTATACTTTTTTGAAAAGGAAATATAAAAAGCTTTGGAAAAAAAATTTTATCAAAAAACATTTCTCTACATTTTTGGAAAAAATATTACTTTACACAACACATTAAAAATATTACACTAAACATTTTTGAAAGATAAATATATACCAATATTTGGAAAAAAATTTTATCATTTATACATTTTTTTAAAAAATATTAGCAGCTTTGAAAAAATATTAACATTTTAAACATTTTGAAAGAAAAAATTACCAATTTTGGAAAAAAAAATTTTCTAAGCTATACATTTTGGAAAAAAATATTAGCAGCTTTGGAAAAATATTATCAGCTAAACATTTTTGAAAGAAAATATTACCAGCTTTGGAAAAAAATTTTATCAGCTATACATTTTTGAAAAAAAATATTAGCAGCTTTGGAAAAAATATTATCAGCTAAACATTTTTGAAAGAAAATATTACCAGCTTTGGAAAAAAATTTTATCAGCTATACATTTTTGGAAAAAAATATTACCTACAACTGAATTTGGAAAAAAAAAATATTATCAGCAACAAAAATTTTTTTCGGCATAAAAAATATTAACCGAAGTTGATATCCATTTAAAAAACAAACCAAACCAAAAAATCATGGGACTGAGCATGTACAACAATTTAAATACCTGGGAAGAGTTTTAACAGAAGACAGAAAGTGTAACACTGAAATTTGAAGGGTGCATCATTAAGATAGCGAAAGATGCTTTCCAAAACCTAAGCAGAGTATTAAGAAAAAGTTAGAAGTGATGAAGAATGAAATAAAAAGAAGAAAACTTATTATTTTAAAAGAAAATATGATAAATCGGAAAATAAGAAAGAAAGGAAAAAAGAGGACGGAAAATGTAAATAAAAGTAAATGGAAGAAAAAAAAAAGTCTAGATTTTATGGAAAATGAAAGAAAAAATACAAGGAAAAACGGAATCTAAAGAATAAAAACGTTACATGAATTAAGTCAAAACCGGAAATAAGACGGAAAACGCAATTTAAAATGAATCGCAAAAAATATGATGAGAAGTGAATACTTTTTTATTTTCCTTTTGATTCAAAATTTTATTTTTCATTCTTTTCTTTTTTCTTTCTTCCTTATCGCTGAATTTCATTTGTTTTTCATTTAACTTATTCTGTAACTATGTAGTTTTTTTTCCTTTTAAAAAAATTTTTTCCTCAAAAAATCTTTTTCTTTTTCCGTGACTATTTTTTTTTTTTTTTTTTTTTTTCATCTTTTTTTATTTTTCACATCTATTATTTTCCTCATTATGCCAGCGCCATTATTATTTTTCATTTATGTTTTTTTCCTTTTATTGTTCTATATTTTCATTTCAAAATAAATTTTCCTTTCCTTTTCCTATTTTTTTTTCTTTTTCTGTTTCATTCTTTCCAATCTTTTTTCGTCTGTTTATTTTTAGAAATTTTCATTCACCGCCATTATTTAGAGGTTTTTCTGTTTCTTTTCTCCTTTTTTTATTTCTTGAAGAAAAAGCCATAATTTTTTAAATTATCTTATTTTTCTTTTGAATTTTTTTTTACTTTTAAGAAAATTACATTTTTTCCGTCAGAAATTTTCATTTTCCTTCTTTTTTTTATACATTTCATATTAGCTTTGAAAAAATTTTTCATTTTTTTCCCTCTTTCTTTTACGATTTTAATCTTTGAAAAAATATTATCTGTTTTTTTTTTATTATTTTTCGTTTTTGGCATTATTTTATTGGAAAAAATTTTATCAGCTATTTTCGTTTTCTCTTAAAGGAAAAAAAAATTTTTTTCGGCATTTGATTTGTTTGTTTGTTTCAATACTGAACAATTTTCTTCTTTTCTTTCTCGCGTCTGTTTATTTGTTTTTTCATGATTAAATTTCATTATTTAGTTTCCTTCAAAATTTTTACTTTTTTTTTTTCGCCAGGAAAAAAAAATTTTTAAAAATTTCTTCTTTTTACAAAAAATTTTATTTTATTTAATTCATTTTCTATTTTCTTTCTTTTCTTTTTTCTCGACGTTTTGTTTTATTTTAATTATTTTTTTTGTTTCTTTCTTTTCTTCTTGATAATCATTCAATTTTTCATTGTTTTCATCCGTTAAAAATCTGTCTGTTTGTCTATTGAAAATTATTTTTTTTCCTTTTCTTTTTTTTCGTGATTTATTTTTTTAAATTATTTTCTTTTTTTTCTTTTTTCTTTCTTTCTTTTTTCATGGCACTCTTTCTTTAGATTTTAAAAATTATTTTCTTTTCTTTAGTAGCTCTTTTTTTCTTTCTTTCTTTCTTTTTTCTATTTTTTCTTTTTCTTTTTTTCTTTATTTTTTTTTCTTTATTTTCTTTCTTTCTTTCTTCTGTTTTTTTTTAATTTCATTACTTTTTTTTTCATTATTTTTTTTCATTCCTTTTTCTTTTTTTTTCTTTCTTCTTTGGGTGATTTTTAAAATGACTTTTTTTTTTTTCATTACATTTCCAAAGTCGCCATTAGAAAATTTTCATTCTTTTTTTTTATTTCTCTTTTATTTCTTCTTCGCCTGTTTTTATTTGCCTTTTTTTTTTTTTTGCCTTTTTATTTATATATTTACATTCTCTTTTTCCTTCATTCATCACAGTTATTCATTTGCTTTTTATTACTACTACGACTTAAATTTTCATTCACTCCGTCTTTCAATTTATTTATTCCCGATATTGTTATTCTCTTTCTTTACTTTCATTTAGTCAAATGTCAATTCTAATTTTCTTCTTCATATTTTCCTTACATGCTCTTTCAATTTTTATTCGTTTTTATGTTCTTTGTTTAGAGAATTTATTTTATCCTAACAATTAATCTGTTTCTTTTGTCTTTTACTTTATATGACTGAGGTTGAAATGAATTCATTTTTCGTATGCGTGCAGACACATTCAGCGTCCATATTGTCTCTATGGCAGGTCAAGCTAAAATATTTTTGCCTTAATCTGGCGCAGAAAGAAAGAACAAGAAATATATCCGATTGTCTTCGGAAAAGAAACTCAGTTGCAATTGGTTTAATCTTCATTGCCATTTACTCTTTGATTGTCTAGACAATTTTCTTTCTTTTGTTCTCTTTTTCTTTTCTTTTTTTTTGTTTTGTTTTGTTTTTGTATTTTTGGGTTTTTTTTTTGGTTTTCCTAAATTTCCTTGTCTTTCTTTCAGTCTTTGAGACTTCTGATTTCGCGTTTTCCTGTTGTTTCCTTCTATTTGCTTTTTCCATTTTACATCTGTATTTTTTTCTTCTTCATTCATTTTTCATTCATTTTATTCTTCCTATTTTCTTTTCCTTTGGATATCATAATGTTCGCCTTTTTATTTCGTTATGACGAAGATAGTAAAAAAAAAAAGAGAAGCAATTAGGAAGATAGAAATAAGGGAAGACATGAAAACCAAATAATGACAGTGAATGAAAGTAGAAAGAAAGAAAGAAAGAAAGAAAGAAAGAAAGAAAGAAAGAAAGAAAGAAAGAAAGAGCGGCGGAAAAAGAAAATACGACTCGGTGGAGAAAGAAAGAAAGAAAGAAAGAAAGAAAGAAAGAAAGAAAGAAAGAAAGAAAGAAAGAAAGAAAGAAAGAAAGAGCGGCGGAAAAAGAAAATACGACTCGGTGGAGAAAAAAGACAAGAAAGAAAGAAAAAAAGAAAGAAAGAAAGAAAGAAAGAAAGAAAGAAAGAAAGAAAAGAAAGAGCGGCGGAAAAAGAAAAATACGACTCGGTGGAGAAAGAAAGAAAGAAAGAAAGAAAGAAAGAAAGAAAGAAAGAAAGAAAGAAAGAGCGGCGGAAAAAGAAAATACGACTCGGTGGAGAAAGAAAGAAAGAAAGAAAGAAAGAAAGAAAGAAACGGACGAAACGAATAAAAACTAAATACTGATAGTGAAGAAAAAAATCAAACAAAAAGTCATAAGAAAGAAAGAAAATAGAGAAGTGAATGAAAGCTGAATATGGCAGTGAAAGAAAAAGTCGTTTAAAAACCATGGCGAACAAATAAAAAGGTGAAGGAATGAAGACTAAATAACGGTGGTGAATGAAAGTAACAAAAAAAGAAACGTGAGAAAGAAAGGGAGAAAGAAAGAAAGAAAGAAAACGATAAAAACAGGAGAGAAAGAAAGAGCATAGAAAATAAAGTAAAAAAAACAATCTCATGAAAGAAAGAAAGAAAGAAAAGAAAGAAAGAAAAAAGAAAGAAAACAATAAAAACAGGAGTGAAAGAAAGAGCATAGAAAATAAAGGGTAGTAAAGGAAAAAGTCAATATGAATCACGCGGAAAATAGAAATAAAAGAGAAAGGATGAAAGGTAAGTACTGCCGACGAATAAAAGCAACTGACAGCGTGAGAAAGAAAGAAAGAAAGAAAGAAAGAAAGAAAGAAAGAAAGAACGTGAGAAAATAGAGAAACAAATGAAAATTGAATACTGTCAGTAAAGGAAAATAATTAGTTGGAAAGAAGAACGAAAGTAGAGAAATAAATTAAAATGAAATTGGGCAGTGAAAGAAAAAGTTATTTAAATATCATGACGAAGAAATAAGAAAGAAAAAGAATGAAAACTAAATAATGGCGATGAGGGAAAGTAACAAATAAAGAGTCGTAACAAAGAAAATTTAGAAACGAATGGAAACTAAATAGTGTCAGTAAAGATTTTTAAAAAAAATCAAAAGTCGTTAAGAAGAAAGAAAATAGAGAAATGAGTGAACAAAAATAGAGACGCGAACAAAAAAGTCATTTAAAATCATGATGATGAATTAAAAATGGAAGGATTGAAAACTAAATAATGGCGGTGGATGAATCAGCTCATAAAGAGATGAGACACTTAAAGAAATAAAATACAGAAATGTATGAAACTAAATAGGGCAGCGAAATAAAAATCGGACTAGAAAATCGTGTAGAAAAAAGAAGGAAATAAAAAATAATAGTGGTGGCGACGAAAAAAGACAAACAAATAGTTGTGGAAGAAAGAAAGGTCAAAGAAAAAAATTAAATTGAAGTAGTGATGGAAAAAGGTGAATGAAGTCTTCAGGAAGAAAGAAAAAGGAATGAAAACTAAATAGTGACAGTAAGAGAAAAGGAGAAATATATGCGAGACCGAAAGAAAAAAAGAAACGAATGAAAACAGAACTATGAGGGGGAAAAAGGCAAAATAAAAAAGATCGCTGGAATTTTAAAAAATGATGTGGGAATAAAAACTGAACATGTTAATGTCGGATAAAGAAAAATGAAAAGATATGAAGAGTGAACAAGAAGATGAAATGAATACTAAATAGTGGCAATGAAAGAAAGGAACAAACAAATATGAGGAAGAAGGAAAAAAAGAAAAGAATGAAAATAAACCTTTGAATCAAAAGGAAAAAGACAAATCATAAACGTCGAGAGAAAAAAAGAAAAATGAAGACAGCGTAGGAAAAAAAGAAAATACACAAATATATGAAGAAGAAAGGAAGAAGAAAAAGAATGAAAACTAAATTGTGACAGTGAAAGAAAAAGGCAAACAAATATGAGGAAAAAGGAATTAAATAAAAGAATGAAAAAAACCTTTGAAGCAAAAAAGGAAAAAAAGACAAATAATAAACGTCGAGAGGAAAAAAAAAAGAGGACAGTATAGGAAAAAAAAAGAAAATACACAAATATATGAAGAAGAAAGGAAGAAGAAAAAGAATGAAAACTAAATTGTGACAGTGAAAGAAAAGGGCAAACAAATATGAGGAAAAAGGAATTAAATAAAAGAATTAAAATAAACCTTTGAATCAAAAGGAAAAAGACAAATAATAAACGTCGAGAGGGAAAAAAAAGAGGACAGTATAGGAAAAAAAAAGAAAATACACAAATATATGAAGAAGAAAGGAAGAAGAAAAAGAATGAAAACTAAATTGTTACAGTGAAAGAAAACGCGAAATAAGAAATCGCAAAGAAAAAAAAAAGAATAATCTTGAAAGTGTCACAAGAATAAAAAAAAAAGGCAATCATTTCATTCGGAAGGAAATAATGAGACATAGATTAAGAATGAGAAACTAATAGAAATAAATAAAGTGAACAGATGAACGGATAAAATGGCAGACATTTTTTTTTTTCTTAAAAAGATGATGTACGTTGAAAGAATAGAATGATTACTAAAAAGAGGATTTATTGTAATCGGTAATTTATTGCATTTCGTTTTTCACGCATACGCAATGAAAAGCGTCCATTCCTTATTTTCCATGAAGGGGGAAAAAAGACAACATGAAAATACGCAGATTTATAAATTACACCAACTGATAAAAACACGTAGCAACAAAATCAGATTAAAAAAAAAAAAAGAAAGAACATTAAAAAAAGAAAAACGAAAGATTGACGATATAAAATCATAATAAAAAAAATTTTAAGTATTAAATAAGAAAAAAAAATGATTGGATTTATTTGATTTTTTTTTTTTTTTTTTGTACAGCGCTTTCATACTCGACGAACAGGTGATGATGTATGGACGAAATACAAAAGAAATTACGGAAATTCAAGGACGATAATCTGGTCTGGCGTGAATTTTGTGATAATTGTTTTCTTGAGATGTTATCTGTCTTCTTTTCTTTTTTCTTTTTTTTTTTCACTTCTTTCTTTGTTTTCAACTCCATTTGTGCACGCTATTGAACTACGTTCGTTGACAGACATCGATCTGTCAATGAGCTTATATGCTAGAACGTCGCATTACAGACAGGGCGCTCAAAGAAATCCCCCCCGATGCCACGTTGATGTGGCTTAATAATTAAATCCCTCAGAAAAGAAATGGGGCGATTTTACAAGCATTAGGAATGTTGTTCCATTTTTTTCCAATTGCAAAATAGTCGATATTCAGATAAAATGCAGTTTTATTCTCATAGAAATGAATAACTGCTCATTTTTTTTATTCATTAATATTTTCGTTCTAAAAGAAACCTATTAATCTTTGCTCTTTGCTTATTTATAGCAATATAAATAAAAACGCGGACGAAGGTGATTGAAAACTTTGGCTGATTACAATATTCAAAAGCGAGACGCATCAGGTATTCGCAACATTAGAAAAAAAGTTCTGTCTATATTTCTGAGATGAAGTATTGTATCTCTTTACATTATTTACATCGTTTCGGTCCTAATCTTTATTGTTATATTAACGACGTTTCGGCCGTTGTACGATTAACCCTTCTTCAGGTGATATACGTTAGATTTTCGAACCGAACCCTTTATTTAGTCCATGTCCCAGTGCATAAAAGCGGTGGTTGAATAACCCCAAAAATAACGTGACCCAAAGAGTTGTGAGTTCAATACCTGACCACAGCAGAGGTGAACAAAAACTTGGAGAATTGAGTTACTAAATGGAATTATTGACACTGAGTTATCTAAAAAAAAGGGGCCTGGCACGTGGAATTAGAACACTCTACCCCCGTGGACTAAATAAAGGCTTTAGTCCGAAATTCCAACGGAAATAACCTGAAAACGGTCAGAGTGCACAACGGTCGAAACGTCGTGAATATGTCAATAAATACAGGGATAATGATCCGAACAATGTAAATAGTGTAAATAATAAAAAAAAAAAAGTTGTTTTGCCGCTTGATTCAAAGTTGACACTATTGACCCCTGTTGTTCGATGTGATTATCTAAGGGGTCTGTAATTTATCTGTATGGTCAAAAGCAGGTTGATCAATGCCTCGTGATCGATAAATAAATCGTGTTGACCTGCCACTAAAATTTAACATTTTTCTATCTAATATCAA